GTGCGCAGTGTGCGCGCCTCCGGGACCTCCTTTCGCCGCTTCCCTGGAGTCCCGCCTTACAGCCCGGCTCCCTATGAATGAGCCTGGGTCCCCGGGGTCTGGCTTAGAAATGGGGTTCAGAGCAGTTGGAGCTGGGCCCAGCACAGTTTGAGCTTTTTCTCCTTCCCGCTTGGGACCGCCAGCCAGGCACTCGGCCTCCCTCCTCTCCGGCTCCGTCCTCTCTGCGCGCGCCGCGTGTCTCCGTACCTTGGGCTTTTACAGCTCCTCCGCGCTTCCTTCTGGTTTTCTCCTTGCTTCTTGTTGTAGAATTTCCAGTCAGTCGACTTTCCTGTAGTTCTGGGTAATGTCCATTTTATATTTTAGTTGTATTTTGTTGAAATTGTTGTGTGCGGCTGCAGCTAGTTGCCTACCCGAGCAGCCATCTTGGATTCTCTCTCCTGACTGGCTTTTTTAATCTGATCCACTTTGAATATTTCTTGCCACTCCCATCTGGCCTGCATAGTTTCTGTTGAGAAATAAACTGATAATCATATGGGTGCTCCCTTATAGGTAACTAACTGCTTTTCTCTTGCTGCTTGTAAGATTCTCTCTTTGTCTTTTGCTCTTGGCATTTTAATAATGATGTGTCTTGGTGTGGTCCTTTTTGGATTCCTTTTGTTTGGGGTCCTGTGCGCTTATGGACTTGTGAGTCTATTTCTTTCACCAGGTGGGGGAAGTTTTCAGTCATTATTTCTTCAAATAGGTTTTCAGTGTCTTGCTCTCTCTCTTCTTCGGGCACCCCCATAATTCTGATGTTGGTATGCTTAAAGTTGTCCCAGAGTCTTCTTATACTATCTTCAACTTTTTGGATTCTTTTTTCTTTTTTGGTTAATTGTTCTTTGCTTCTTTGTATTTCAAATCTTTGACTTGATTCTTGCTTTCCTCTACTCTGCTGTTGGGTCTCTGTATAATATTTTTCATTTCAGTCAGTGTATGTTTAATTTCTAGTTGGTCCTTTTTCACATCCTCGAGGGTCTCGTTAAATTTATCGGCCTTTTCTAGGAAATTCTTGAAAAACTTTATATCCGTGGTTTTGAACTCTGTATAGTCATTTGTTCTCCTCCATTTCTTTCTTTTGTGATCTGTTTCCTTGTCTCCTCATTTTCACTGCTTCCCTGATTTGTTAGGATGGCTTTGTGTGGTAGGAGTCCTATATGGTTCAGTGGGTCAGCCTCCCCAGTTACCTGAGATGGACACTCTTGGTGCATCCCTTTGTGGACTGTGTGTACAGCCTTGTTGTAGTTAAGTCTTAATTGTTGTTGGGAGGAATTGACCTCCAGGCCAATTGGCTGTGAGGACCCGCTGAATCTATAATGGAAGAATTGGTGTATTGGAGACATGCTTATGGGACAGGACTTGTTACAGCGGGGCTTTGGTGCTCACTGAGTCTGCCTCTTGAATGTGTCACTTATGAGAGTAGTTGAAATCTGGTGTCATCTCACACAGACCACTAGATACACTAGCTTCTGGATCTCCAATGGGGTGCAGGTCAGCTACTGTCTGAGGCCACCCAGCAGGAGCTACAGCGAGAACTAGTTTTCTCCTCTTTGCTTGGGGTTTGGATGTTTTGGAGCTGTCTGACCAGAGCTGCAGTTTGTTTGGTTAAGCTACAACTGGGCAGGCTATTTATATGCAAAAGCTGCTGTGTGGAGCTTGGGTGTGTTTGTAGATTGTGCGGGGCAGAGTCTCAGCGCATCACTAGACTAGGGAGTGGCAAACAGTGATGGCTGCCAGTCAGCCTTCTCTGCCTTTCCGAGTTTCCAATTCCCCGCATCCTGCACCGCAATAAACAATGATTGCTGGGTGCACCTCTGCAAGAAAGTCACCCTCACTTTCCGACCCGATGGCAGACAGTCCAGTTTCTCCCCGTAGGAGTTTGAGTCCCTCGCATCTCCCCATAAACTGGAGTTCAGAGTAATCGAGAGCTTGACTCCCTTCAGGTTGAAAAAAAGCAGTGTGCCCAGTTGCCTACCACCAGCCCAACTCAAGTGCCTCCAAACCTCAGCTTTTCAGTGCTTGTGCACGGATCAAGGCTCTTTTCTCTTTTCTTCTAATTGTAGAACTTCCACTCAGCCAGCTTTCCTGTGGTTCTGGGTGATAGACGTTTTGTCTTTTAGTTGTAATTTTGAAATTGTTTTGCGAGGTAACAGTTTAGGTGTTTACCTTTGCCACCATCTTGGTTTCTCCCAAATTTTTGTTTCTTAATTATAATTTTACTAGAGGCCCGGTGCCTATTCGGGCTTTCCTTCCTTGGGCTATAGGCAGCTGGCCCCACACCCACCTGCCACAGCTTGCCATCCATGCAGTGCTGCCCCCACCTCTCCCCTACCACCAGTGGCCTCCCTCTGCAGGTGACAAGCTGGGGTGCAATGGCTTGGCTGGCCTGGACCACCCTCTTTCTTTGCTGGGGTGTGGGGCCAGCCCTGTGAGGGGCCATCTGCCTATCTGACTGCCCCTAACTATTCTGCCTGCCTGCCTGATTGCTTCTACCCTCTTGCTTGGGGGTTAAGCATGCTCTTAATAGCTTTTGAAAAGAAGTCTACACAGAAATCACTTTGACAGGTCTCTGAAGAACCACAGGCACTGTGTACCCTTAACAAACTCAAAGGCAGAAACAAAGGAACCATCTGGTCTCTGGTCATTTCCGTCATGACTCCAGCCTTTTATCATATAGGATTGTTTTCAAAAATATTACAAAAAACTAAACACTCCAAAATTCTGCTAAGAGAAAAACAAAATAAGCAAGTTCAATGAACAAACAAAAAGACCCTCAACTAACCTAGCTCTCCTATCCACCCCATTAAATGTAAACCTTGGTGTCCCACTTTCAAAATAATTTCTCCAAACTTATCTATCTGTCATTATTCCCCATCCTTCCACAAGATAATATACCAAGCTTTCTTACATTCCATGCCTATTTACAGAATTTATCTCACTTGAAATATCTACCCTCTACATATGCAAATCCTATTCCTTTTTCAATTCTCAATATCTCTAGAAAAACCCCAAAGAATTAGTTATGTAGATTATTCTATTTCAATTATCCTTACCTTTAAACAGAGATGAAAATAACAAGAAACCTTCTCACTATAGGCAGGGAGACAGACAAGTTTCAGACAAGCAGTACTTTGCAGGGGCAGGAAGAAAGGAGGGGAATGAAGTGTGAGAACACAAAGGAGAGAGCATTTAATTCTGCTCCAGGTCAAGTAAGAGACCTGGAAAACTTCAACGAGAGTCACTTGGTTAGAAGTCATGGGAGATATACGGAGGATATCAGCCTGAGCAAAGATGGAGAGAGCCATGAAAATTAAAACGCATGGTGCTTTGAGGGCATTGTGCATTAGAGGAAATTTCAAATGCAATAAAACTGAAAAGGGAAATCCAGAAGCAAAGTGCAAAGGGCCTTGAATAGCACACAGCCTAAATCCCTTCAATTATGGCAAGGGTAATGGCAAGTCACATAAGACATTACATTGGAGTTAAGCATTGACTTTTGTTTCGTAGAAGGTCACCTGGCCTTCTAAAGAAAGGCTGGACTGGAAAGAGAAGGGGCAGCAGACCAGTTAATATATGGCAGGTGTTCCACAAATGTTTATTAACTGGATGAGACTATCACACAGAAAAAAAAAATCTTTTAAGCTCCACATTTAAAGTCAGCAGCACGAAGTGCTCTCCAGTTGCTTTGAATATATTAGTTTTCCACTTTCAAGATCATAAAATTTAGTAAAGCAGAAAGGTGAAGAAGAAACATGGCTCCAGAGTCAGACTTGGCTGAAGTCCAAGTCTGAAAACTGCTGGTTGTATGATTGTGAGCAAGCTACTTAATTTCTTCGGTCCCAGTCTCCTAATCTGTTACATGTAATATTGTATACTCCTCACAGGATTGTAGAGGATTAAAAATGAGATGGTACCAACACAGTGCCTCGCACATAGTAAATCTTCAATAAGCATTATATTCCTTATGGGCTGTATTTAGTGTTCAGGATGATACTAGTACACTAGGCACATAATAGGTACTCAGGACTGTGTCAAGTCATTTATTAAATCTCTGACAATCACATTTTTCTATAAACTTTTTATAAAAGTTTATAGAAAAACGTCGTCGTCCCCCTCCCTCCGCCCCCGCATTTACACAGGTTAGATTAGGCCATATGGAAAACAAATTCTTTTTAAAGGCAACGCAACTGAGAAAGAGAGGAGCATGCTCTTCACAGCTTCTGAAAAGCAGTCTACACAGAAGTCACTTTGACAGGTCTCTGGAGAGCCACGGGCACTATGTAACCTTAGCAAGCTCAAAGGCAGAAACAGAGTACATACAGGGGATCAATAACCGAGCACGGGGCCATCCAGATGCCCCTGGGCACCGGTGACATGCTCCACTAAGGCAGGGTTTTTTTGTTTGTTTTAAGCCAAGTAAGCTCTGGACTAGAGAGCACTATGGCTGGAAAAAAAAAAAAAATCGTGGTGACATTAACAGTTAAGAAAACTCTACCCAGCGACCTGCAACACGAGGAAGAGCACGCTAGGGGCCGGCGGAGGGGAAAGCCGGTCTGGGCCACCGGAGGGACAGGTCAGCGCCCCGGGGCGCCTGCACCCAAGGGCGGCTGCGGCGGCCCCGCATTCCGGCCCCGGTCTGTGGTCTATACTTAACCTCCGGCCCGCGCCGCCGCCGCCCCGCCGGGCACCGTATTAGGCAATGCCCGGGGCGCACGGCGATCCCCGCCCCGCTCCATTCAGCCCGCCGCCGGCGCCCGCGCCCTTCCCCCACGGCCGCCAGCGGGTCCCCGCGGCCGCCCCCGCGCCCCCCGCGCCCCGCCCCGCACACACCCCCGCCCGCCCCAACGCGCGCTCCGGAGCGGGGGCCCCCCACCAGCCGGCGGCCGCCCCGGGCGCGGAGTAGCAGGCGCGGCGGCGCGGGGAGGGCCGGTGCGGGGGAGCCGGGAGCCTCGGGGCGCACGTACCCCGCGGTCATGGCGATGTTGTAGAAGGTGAGCCAGGCGGTGGCCGCCCAGCCCAGCCGCCTCCTCCTGCCGGGGGCCTCCCTCTCCTCGCTGGCCTCCGAGGCGCCGCCGTTGGAGCCGTCCTCCTCGCTGAACGCCATGGTGGCCGCGCCGCCGGGGGAGGAGGCCGGGAGGGGAAGGGGGGTGCACGGGGGCCCTGCCGAGCTCGCAGCCGAAGCGCCGCCGCCCGCCGCCGCCGCCTCGGTCCAGCGCCCCATGTGCCGCGCGCAGGGGGCTCGGCGCCGCCAGCCCGGCCGCTCGCGGGGGGAGGAGCGGGCGCCCCCGGCCGGCACCCCCGCGCCCCGCCCCCGGCCGCGGGAGCGCGCGCGCGAGGCGGGACCCGGCCCCCCGCCCGGAGCGCGGGAGCGATGCCCCGAGTATGATGTCGAGGTTTCCACGGAAAACCCATCCCCTCGCGGGCCGGGGAACCTCCTCTCCGGAAGGCGCCCCGGCGATCGTGCACCTGGCGACGTGCGCCCCGCTGGTGCGGGGGGACGGACGGAGTTCCCCGGGGCTCAGAGGGGTTGCGCCCGCCCAGCGTTTCCCAGGGTGGCTTCTAGACGGGGAGACAGGTGCTGGGGTCTTCCTGCCAGACGCAGTTTAAGCGCTTTCGGGGAAGTTGTGTCCACTTAGCCCCGTTGCACTTTCACTGGCCAGTGGGCATGGATGGCGGAAAATCAGGATTTGGCCAACTTGTGTGGATTCCGTGGAGCCAGGGGTTCTCAGGGCATTCATTTAAATGCGCAGAATAATGGGCGTTAGGGGAAGCTAGCGGAAAGAGGACAGACACGTCAAGTCACCAACGGAGAGAAGTTTGAATAGATATAGACAATCTACAGACGTAGGGCTAACAAGATCTCTTTTTTCCACAGGAAAAATAGTAACCTGCTGTTCTCCACCCTATATCTCTTTCCTTTAAAAAAAAAAAATTGGTTTTGCCTCCAAGTACCCACACTTTCTTCTAATAACTCTTGACTATTTTTCCCTTAAAGCACACAATTAAGAAGGAGTCAGAGTACTGAAATTCAAATTCCAAATTTCCGGCTCCACCGGTTTAGTTGTGGGCAACTAAACCTCTCTATGCCTCAGTTTCCTCACTGGGGAGAATTTAAAAACCTACCCCAAATCAGCGTGTTAGCACTTTTCTGGTGGTTCCTGAACTCCGTTGATAAAAGTTTATAAAGTTCTAGAAGAAAACTGAATCTTTGGAACCTTGAGGAAGGCAAAGATTTCTTAGATACAATGACAATAAAAGGCATTAATCAGAAAAGACAGATGGAACTTCATCAAAATGTAAAACTTCTGTTATCCCAATGACACCATTTAAAAAGTGAAAATATTCACAATGAATATTGTGATAAGGAACTTGTATCCAGAATACTATATATAAAGAATCCTTGCCCTAGCCAGTTTGGCTCAGTGGAGAGAGCATTTGCCTGGACACTGAAGGGTCTTGGGTTCAATATCGGTCAAGGGCACATGCCCAGGTTGCGGGCTTAACCCCCAGTAGGGGAAATGCCTACTGAGTTAAAAAAAAAAAAAATTATTGTAACTCATAATACAAAATCCGGTATTTTTAAATGAGTAAAAGATTTCAATAGACATTTCACAGAGAAGATATAGAAATAGCAAAAGATTTTCTGCACAGGCCAGCAGAAGCAATCCGCTTGTTAGGCCTTCCTTCCGGCCATACACAGGGACGGCCACCTGAGGACTAGAGGCCGGCTTCCTGAGCTGCTCAGGTATGAAGTCATCCTCACCGGGAGGAGAAGGTTAGGGATGGCACCAAAGAGGAGAAAATGGAACCTGGTCTAGGAGGGTCGTGGTCCAAGCTCTCAGCTCATTGCCCAGGCAGTACTACCAGCCTGCTCCAGAGAATTTAGATAATTTTTTGTCTTTGTTAAAAAATAATTATTTATTATTGAAAGTGTTACATACTAATATGTCCCCCTTTTTCCCCCATTAGCCCCCTCCCCGCCCCCCACCTTCCCGAACTTCAGCATCCTATGGTCTGTGTCCATGGGCCATGCATATATACATACAAGGTCTTTGGTTGATTACCTCTCACCCAGCCACCCTCTCCCGCCTCCCCTCTGAGATTCCCCACTCTGTTCCATATCTCTGAATCCACTCCATTCAATTTATTTTGTTCCTTAGATTCCACATATGAGTGCAATTATGTGATACTTGTCTTCCTCTGACTGACTTGTTTCACTTAGCATGATACTCTCCAGGTCCCTCCATGCTGTCTCAAAGGAGAATTTAGATAATTTTGAGGAAGACATTCCAATAGGGGAAGGAGTATGAGGTAAAGGGGTACGGAGTATGAGATGCGTCTCAGAAGATATATAATGGCTCAAAATTGTTCAAATTTGATGAACACTGTGACCTACTATTTTTAAAGGCATTTAAATTTTAAAGAAAGAAGTGAAACTATTTGGAAATAATAACATTGTGTGATTAGAAAATCCCAAGGAATATACCAAAAAAAAAAAAAATTTACTGGAACTGGTTGCAGGATACAAGGTCAGTGTAACAATCAATCATTTTCTACATAGTAGAAAAGGACAACTGGAAATTGAAAAACAAAACCATATAGTGCTCATCAGCATCCCAAAACATGAAATGTATAGGGATAAACTTAAAATATTTACAAGACCTGAACCCTATAAATCATTGCCAAGAGAAATTAAAGACCTGAATAAATAGCTATTTTGCTTATGAATTAGAGGACTCGGGATTGTTAAAATTGTCAGTTATCCTCAAACCCCAGAAGAAAAAAAAAATTTAATTTGACAAGGTGACTCAAATTTATAAGGAAATACATGCATAGAAAAAACAAGGTTGGAGCACATACATATCTATTTTTAAGCCTTAGTATAAAACCACAGTTTGCAGGACGGTGTGGTAGGTAGGCATAAGGATAGACATACAAATCATTGAAATAGAATATAGTCCAGACCCATATGTCAACTGATTTTCAACAGATGTGAAGGTAAGTATTTTCAACAAATGGTGCTGAGACAATTGGATGTCCACACACACACAAAATGAACCTTTATTCTTATCTTATACCATAGACAAGTTTTAATTTGATATGGATCATAGACCTTTCAGAAAAGCTGAAACTATAAAATTCTAAAAGAAAACGGCATCTTTGGAACCTTGAGGAAGGCAAAGATTTCTTAGATACAATGACCAAAAAAGGCATTAATCAGAAACGACAGATGGAACTTCATCAAAATGTAAAACTTCTGTTATTCCAATGAATCCATTTAAAAATTGAAAATAGCCAAAACCAGTTTGGCTCAGTGGATAGAGTGTCAGCCTGCAGACTGAAAGGTCTTGGGTTCGATTCCGGTCAAGAACATGTACCTTGGTTTCGGGCACATCCCCAGTGGGGGGTGTGCAAGAGGCAGCTGGTCGATGTTTCTCTCTCATCAATGTTTCTGACTTTCTATTTTTTCTCTCTTCTTCTCTGTAAAAAATCAATAAAATATATTTTTAAAAACTAAAAAGTAAAAATACACTGTATCTGATAAGGAACTTGAATCCAGAACACTATATATAAATATATATATAAAAAATCCTTACAACTCAATAATACAACAACCTGGTATTTTTAAGTGAGCAAAAGATTTCAATAGACACTTCACGGAGAAGATATAGAAATAGTAGCACATGCAAAGATGCTCAGTCTTATTAGTCATTAGAAATGCAAGTTAAACACACAATGAGATGTCACTACATTTATATTTTTATTTTTTTAATTTTAAAAAATATATATATTTCTTTATTGATTTTAGAGAGGAAGGAAGAGGGAGAGAGAAATAGAAACATCAATGATGAGAGAGAATCACTGATTGGCTGCCTCCTGCACAGCCCCCACCGGGGAGAGAGCCTGCGACCCAGGCATGTGACCTTGGCCAGAATCAAACCTGGGACCCTTCTGTCCGCAGGCCGACCGTCGCTCTATCCACTGAGCCAAGCCAGCTAGGACAATATCACTATATCTAATATTTTTTAAATGTTGGCGAGGATGTAGAGCAATTGGCATTCTCATACATGGCTAAAGAGATACAACTTTGAGAAAATGATTTGACAGTTTCTTAAAAATATCAACATGCACTTATATATGACCCATAAATTTCACTCCTAGGTGTTTATTCAAGAAAAGGAAAATAGGTCCATACAAAGACTTGGACACAAATGTTCACAGCAGTTTTATTCATAGTAACCCCTGAAAATAATCCATCAACATGTGAACGGATAAACAAATTGTAGTGTACTCATACAATGGACTATTACTCAGCAATGGAAAAGAACTCACTACAGTACACACAGTATGAATGGATCCCATAAACTTTAGCCGAGCAAAAGGAGACATACACAAAAGATTGCATAGTATATGATTATATTTATTTAAAATTCTACAAAAGGAAAATCTATAATGACAAAAAAGCGAAAAGTTGCTGCCTGGCACTGGGGATATGTGTGTGGAGAGAGCTGATGGGAATTCTTTCAGAGTAATATAAATATCTATTCATGTGGTGGTTTTCTTTCTGGCACATTTGTTAAGTTTTCAAATGGGCCTGACTCTGCCACATATATTATATGATAGCTGTGAAAGGCTTGATGACAAAAAGATCTCTCTCTAGCCTGTCCTGCATCAGAGATTGGCTCCCACATGTAAAAATAAATAAATAAATAAATTAATTAATTAATTAATATTCAGTGATTGTTGTATATATTATACATTTGTCAAAACTCATCATATGAAATAGACAAAATGGATGCATTTCTTTGTGCATAAATTATTGCATGGAGTTGATTTTAAAGTATCAGGAATAATAAATATTTTGAAGTGTAAAATTTACAAATTATTGATAGGTTTAACATAAAACCCACATACTGTAGCAGAATGGGCTTGTATATTGCAGTTAATAGTTTCTCTTCTGATTATTCAATTATTCCTTTAAACCATTAAATATGACATAAAATGTAACTCATTTTTACAATGGCTATCGTTGTTGGGCTTTTTTAACTTTTTTTTTTAATTCTCACCCTAAGATATGTTTTTGATTGATTTTTAGAGAGAGAGAGAAAGCAACATTGATGTGAGAAAAAATATCATTCAGTTGGCTCTCTTATGCGCCCCAATCAGGGATTAAACCCAAAACCTAGTATGTGACCTGACTGGGAATTGAACCTATAACTTTTTGGTGTATGGGATGATGCTCCAACCAATTTAGCCATCATACCAGGCCAATGGCTATGTTTTTTACAAAGTAGAATGTGATATTTTAAAAAAGATT